GGCAGTGTATAACCTTCCTTTTTTTTACCAAAAATCGACTGCACCAAAATTTCTCGGGAAAACACCTTTTCTTATTAATTTTAGTGCATAGAATCCAAAACAATTCGTACTTTTTCCATCAGACTTCTCAAAAAAAAGTTATAGACTAGAAACCAATTTCAAAAGAAAATTCAAAGGGCTGTAACTTTTGAACTAGTAGCCCAATCTTAGAACTGTTTGAATTATGGATTCTACAGGCCACATTCTATAACAAAAATTTTTTTCCGGGTCGATCTGAGACAATTTTTTTTTCGGGCCTCAAAAAAGGGCAGTGTGTAACCTTCCTTTTTTACCAAAAATCGACTGCACCAAAATTTCTCGGGAAAACACCTTTTCTTATTAATTTTGGTACGTAAAATCCAAAACAATTCGTACTTTTTCGATTAGACTTCTCAATCAAAAGTTAGGACTAGAAACCAATTTCGAAAAAAAATTCAAAGGGCTGTAACTTTTGAACTAGTAACCCAATCTTGGAACTGTTTGAAATTATGGATTTTACAGGCCCCATTCTATAAGAAATTTTTTTTCCGGGTCGATCTGAGACAATTTTTTTTCGGGCCTCAAAAAAAGATGACCGTGTTTCATTGATAAGAAACCATTTTTGGGCGGTAGTTAATGAATAGTAGAGATTCCCAAACCAAAGAGGAAGATTGAACTCTACTTTTGTAGTCGTAAAAAGTGGAAAATTGTTACATAGTGAAGATTTCTGCTATTGAATATAAAAAATGTTTCCATTTCTCGTCACTCTTTAACATCAACCCTTTGAGTTAATAAACTTGTGGCTTTCCCGTAACTCTTAACGCCAGTTAAAAAACTACGACCAGAGATTTGCAAATTCACTGGCAAAGTTCCCACTTGCAGCTCCGTTGTCATGAGATAGTGTCGCGGTAAGGAGGGTGGTCTCCAGCCTAATTTTGTAGCAACATCGTCCCCTGCAAAATGACTGTCTTATATGAAGTACCCTTGTTCCATTTATGTAAAAGGTCTGATTTTTTAAGACAAACCTCCCAAATTATATTTGATTGAACTAAGAAAAAACTAACTAAGGAAAATTATGACTTGTACGTTCTTAAGAGATCAACATGTGGTCATTTAAAGCCGTTTTGATATTGCATGCATTTTAGCATTCAGAAACTCAATCAATCAATCAATTGGATTTGTTAGATAAATCAGTTTTTTATTTAAAGTTAATTCATTCGAATTTCAATAAAGTGGGTCCATTATATTTTTGGTGAATTGTGTGTCAAAAATTGTGCCGTATATTTGATATTAGATTCGACAATAAATTCAGGAACCGTGGCCACGAAAATTAATCCAGTTAATTGAAAATGTATAAAGATAATCATAAATAGTAGCATCTGTAAAGGGAAAGGGAATTCTTTTTCTATTTGATTTTGTCGTCAATAGATCCAAAATCTTGTGTTTGTTTTGCGATCAAGCAAATCAACGATCAAAGTTTAAAGTCAATTTTCAGGAAATTAGTAAGTCAGTCAGTATGTAAGTCAATTATAGTTAAATTTCCGTTATGAGCTAGCCGTTAGTCATTAATCTTTTTGTTAAAGAATTTTCGAGGTGTGTAAAAAAGTTAAAAAAAAACCATATATCTAAAAATTCCTCTTGACCCCTATGCAGACTTTTTGCCGCCATTGAAGACTCTTAAGGGACATGAAGAAAAGTCCGTAACAAAACAGTTTCTAAGGGCACATAATCGCTCTTTAAAACACCCTTAAAGCTTTTTACACATTTTAAGCGCCTTCATTGCTTTAAAACACGAGTAACTTTAAACACACATAGAAAGGATTTCAATGCTTCTAAAAGCCCAGTGGATTCTTTTGGATACAACTGAAAACCTTTGGAAACTCATCGAGACTCAGAACAAATTTGTTCTGCTGTAGTGGAATTAATAATTGACAGTAGTTTTTTTAAAATAAAGGTTTGTTTCGTATTTTCATGTATTGATATTCTTTATTATTAACGAGCCCCTAATAAACAAGTTCATGATTTTTGACTCTCTGTCCCTCTGTCCGGCCTGTGTACATGAAAACTTGCCAACGGTTTCGAATTTTTCAATTTATAGGTAGACAATCGTCTATGATTAAATTTTGGTCATTTGGATTTTCTGTCCGTCTGTCTCCGTCCGCTTGTGTACTTATAATAACTCATGAACGGTTCCGAATTTTCCAATTCTGTGTTTAGTATTATGTTTATCATCACCCAAGACTTGATTAAATATTGAGTGACCCAGGAGGTCGCTTGCTATATTTGTTTCAAGTTTATTTATAATAATAGTAAGAAACATACATATTATAATTAAAATAATTAATTTTCTAATAAACCCGTTGGGATGTGACGACCCCATCGCCCATTAAGCTTCCATATAATGAAGCGTGTTGATGGGAAGCAGTATTTCCAAGGACGTTGGGAGTTGGGAGTTGATCCCGGTACTATGGCCTACCTTAATCGGTTCGCCATATAGTGAAGCTTTACCGTCCAGTTTTTATTGCATCGAGGATAGATCAAATGAGTATTTCTCTAACTGTGCATAAAATGAAGAACTGAAGTATTATGTAATGTGACGACTCATGCAAAGAATATTGTAGAGTAAATTCTGCAATTACGCGTTTTCGTTCCACGAACGGCAACGGTTTCCAAAGAATTAAGAATGGGAGAAATAGACTACGATACCAAATATATGACTAAATACATTTAAATAAAAAAAGAAACAGAAGTTACTTTCTAGTGTACGTGGAGAAGGGGGGCAGACAAATGTCTCTGGCTTCCATGTTAGCATAGATTATGATGTTAGTGAATTAGACTCAATTCCAATTTTAATTGCAATTTTTGTAATAATTCATTCCATAGCCCAATGAAACCAATTTTACAGTTGCGGACAATTCAGCGACGAGATTATGTAAACCTATAAATGGGATAAGAAACTGAAATAGCAACGTATAAATGAGGGATCTTAATCCTCCTTACCCACCTTGTATGGACAGCAATTTGCATCTCACATAAAACTTTTATTATTATGCTATAAACGAACTTCCTTTGAAGCATAAGGTTGAACATTTAACTGTAAACAGACCGCTAATTACACCTAAATATTACATTGTTGTATGCAAACATCAAAGCTTTGTATGCAGAGAGCAAACCTCTGGTCGTGGCGTAAGATGCATACAAGCTGCATAATAATGGCATGAACTCACATACATAATGTAACCTGTCTAATCCTGTACGAAAAAAATGGGCACGTAGATACAATTGTTTAATAAAATATGTAGATACCGGAAGTAAGTTTCTATTCCATAAAGATTTCGTATGTAAATTTATGACAGGTACCCTCCCGTATGGCCCCATAGAAAAGGTGGCGCACGTAATAAAAACATAAAAGTCAGATTTACATCGTTAAATAAATCGAAGAAAAAAAGGATCAACAAATTATGTTAACAACGCGAGAGCAATCGGATCACGGGAAAAAGTTTGAAAATTACATTTCGAACAGGGAAAGGCAAACGACAACAATTAGAATAATTACGAAGTCCAGATAAAGATGGTAATGTAATTAACCGGTTCACTTACCACACTTTCCCCGACTTTCTCTCCTTCTCCGTCTAATTAAATTGATTTAAGGGATGTTACTCTTTGTTACATTTGGAACGTATCCTATTTAATCAAATTTGTATGAGTAATAACGCAAGGACACCGGGAGAAACGGGGGCCGTTTCACAATTTTACGATTCTGGTAATGGCGCGGTATTAATCCTATCCGGCTAATTGTAATTTTTAGTTAATGGGGTCTGTTTTAGTTATTAGTAGATGTACTTTCTATGGTATATTAAGTATGGAGAACGGTAAGGGATTTTACCGTTCGAAGACAATTGTTTGGAGGAGGAGCGAAGCGACGACTCCAATTATTGTCTGAGAACGGTAACCCTTAACGTTCGACGTGCTTATAACATTTTTTGCGCGATCGAAATTAAATTTATGCAACCAATATAAATATGCACTAAGAAATTAACGACCAGAATAAATCGAAATGATCGAAGTGGTATGGTGTATATCACTAGGTAACCAGTTTATTTGTCAAAATTGAAGTTAATAATTTCATAAAAATGTGCATGTGTCTGATGTAGTTTACTAGCTTTGAACTTCCTTTATGACTTTATGAGCGTCTTGCTATAGGAAATAACAGCACAAATTGTACGTTTAATGTACCTAACAATAATTAAAGATTAAATGTAATGTAAGACTGTTGATTTTTAAAAAGGCGTCGGTAAGTATTTTTGCTGTTCTGTTTTTAGATCGGTAAGTAATTTTGGCGTCGTCGTAATGATAGCAACTGGTAAATTCTACGTACTGTCATGGAAACACCCATGGTAAATAGTCAGAAATGACCGATCGCGCAAAAAAGATTTGTTAGGTTGGTATCTCCAACTCTGATTTACATAATTTATTGTTTACACGGAGAAAAATGGATTGTTAAAATCATATAGTAAAAATTATATTGTAAACAGTACGAGAAGCTATTATTAAATCAAACCAACCTTAACACACGCTGTACAATATGAATATGTCTAATCAAAATTATTCTCACTATAATAATGATATTGTATTAAATATGATCTTAGATATTTAAATATATCCAAGAGCAAATAGATAATAAACATTAAAATATAGTTTATTAACGAAATGGGTTTATTATTTGTGTATAATACAGTTTAGTATATAACGCATTCTTAAATGAAAACCTTGCGGTTGAAAGATTGTTAGTTTAACAACCCATATAATAATTTTTAACATATGATGTAATTGTAATGATGCTGAATCTGCAAGATAAGCATAAGCTTATTTTGAGAACAACCGTTGCAAAGGTTGCATTATAGTATTTTACATTATTAGCCAGGTAAGTGAGTTTTTACTGGCGATAGGAGAAGTTGACTGGCGAGCCGTCAGGCGAGCCTGTCATCTCCTAGAGCCAGTAAAAACCGTTACCGTGCGTATATTGTATAATATTTTATTCGTTTATCACTTGTAAAATTTTAGATTGTAAATCATAATAAGTTCTAGAAATTACTCCTAAAAAATTAGGAAACTTAAAATCGTATGAGCTTTTTAGACTGATTTCCCAGGAAACGCTGGTAATTTGTTTTGTTGTTTACTTATGCCATTTTATTTATCGTTTTCGTCAAGATTTTTCGATCCATTAAAATGAATGTACCGCAAGCGATTATTGATGAAGCGACAAATGTGGCGGCAAGTTTGTTGCCCGAAAAATCTTCGGAAAGATACGAGCACGAGTACGCCGAATTCAAAAAATGGCAAAACGAAAACAATGTGACTGGTATTACAGAAGACGTTCTATTAGCGTACATCAGTAATTTGTCTAAAAAATATAGCCCAAATTCTTTATGGTCAAAATGGTCAATGGTTAAGAGCTGTCTGCAGGTTAGAGAAAACATTGATGGCCGGAGGTTTGTTTTTATCTTTTTACAAACAGAAAATGTTTATTTGACATTTCTAGATTTCATAAAGTGATTGCATTTTTGAAAAGGCGAAATGAACGCTACCTCCCCAAGAAAGCTAAAACTCTGACGAAGGAGCACGTGGAAAAATTTATATTAGAAGCTCCTGACGATAAATGGTTGCTCGCCAAAGTCATTACAATTTTTGGTATATTTGGTTGTTGTCGGTGCGATGAACTGTTATCCCTCACTTTAAATGACGTGGAGGATTTGGAGAAATATATTGTTGTGACCTTACGCGAAACTAACAATTAAGATTTACAATAACAGATGATGGGTGTAGTTTCAAACCCTGTGTTATTTATCGAAAATATGCCGCTTTACGTCCTCACAGAAGTAAGGACCTGCGGTTGTTCTTGACGTACCGGAATGGAAAATGTGTCGCCTTAAATGCAGGTCAACATACTGTTGGAACAGTACCCAAAAAGATTGCTGAATATTTAGGATTACAAGAGGCCGCGTTGTATACAGGTCACTCATTTAGACGGACTGGAGCAACGATGATTGTTGATGGTGGTGGTGATATTTTAGCTCTAAAACGTGCAGGGGAGTGGAAATCAACAACAATTGCAGAGAGCTATGTGGATGACTCAATTAATAAGAAGATTGAACTGTCAAAAAGTATGTTCTCAGTTAAAGAATCCATGCCGTCCACTTCTACAGAGTATCCACATTCCACATGCAAATATAAGAAGTGACTTAACATCGTCATCTGGAGTGATCAATATTAGCGGAAGTAAAAACTGTACTATGGTATTTAATGTATACGATAAAGCACAATTTGCTAATGTTAATAAATGAAATAAAATGTTAACAACATTATGTTTCTTATTTAATAAGTATAAAATATACGAGCACGGGTGTAAAACTTTTACAGGCTAGCATGTAAATGATTTACACGCGGGTCAGAGTTAACTGACATTTTCAGAGTGTATACAGAGACTTGATAAATTGACATTTACAAGTGAGAAACGAATAATGTATTGTATGTTGTATGCGGTTTTTGTTCAGTCGACAGTCAGTTCAGTGCGTATGTGTATGTGGCTCGCAATTTTGGTGAAGTTTATAGATGAATTCTATACCACTTATAATCATGAGTGATGTTCCAGAGATTTTGAGGGTTGGGCCAATACAATATGGCAGTATAAGTACAACAAAACTGTATTATATTGATTATTATTATACCTTATTGTTGCAAATATATCATGATTTTTGAACTTATAATTTTATATATTCGAAACCAATATGTGTGTATCCTGATTTTTGGTAAAAAAGGAAGGTTATACACTGCCTTTTTTTGAGCCCCGAAAAAAAAATTGTCTCAGATCGACCCGGAAAAAAAATTTTCTTATAGAATGTGGCCTGTAGAATCCATAATTTCAAACAGTTCCAAGATTGGGCTACTAGTTCAAAAGTTACAGCCCTTTGAATTTTCTTTCGAAATTGGTTTCTAGTCTATAACTTTTGATTGAGAAGTCTGATCGAAAAAGTACGAATTGTTTTGGATTCTACGCACCAAAATTAATAAGAAAAAGTGTTTTCCCGAGAAATTTTGGTGCAGTCGATTTTTGGTAAAAAAGGAAGGTTATACACTGCCTTTTTTTGAGCCCCGAAAAAAAATTGTCTCAGATCGACCCGAAAAAAAATTTTCTTATAGAATGTGGCCTGTAGAATCCATAATTTCAAACAGTTCCAAGATTGGGCTACTAGTTCAAAAGTTACAGCCCTTTGAATTTTTCTTTCGAAATTGGTTTCTAAGTCTGTAACTTTTGATTGAGAAGTCTAATCGAAAAAGTACGAATTGTTTTGGGATTCTACGCACCAAAATTAATAAGAAAAAGTGTTTTCCCGAGAAATTTTGGTGCAGTCGATTTTTGGTAAAAAAGGAAGGTTATACACTGCCTTTTTTTGAGCCCCGAAAAAAAATTGTTTCAGATCGACCGGGAAAAACATTTTCTTATAGAATGTGGCCTGTAGAATCCATAATTTCAAACAGTTCCAAGATTGGGCTACTAGTTCAAAAGTTACAGCCCCTTTGAATTTTTTTTCGAAATTGGTTTCTAGTCTATAACTTTTGATTGAGAAGTCAAATCGAAAAAGTACGAATTGTTTTGGATTCTACGCACCAAAATTAATAAGAAAAAGTGTTTTCCCGAGAAATTTTGGTGCAGTCGATTTTTTGGTAAAAAAAGAAGGTTATANAGCAACTTTAAAGCACGTGTGTTTTAAGGCCTTTTTTTCGCACGCATTTGAGTGTTTAAAACGGAGATTATGATTCAGGTATAATAAAATTAGTATATTAAGATACAAGTGTATAATCAACTCTTTAAAGCACGCGCAACGAGTTTAAGGGCACGACGCAAAGCGGAGTGCCTTTAACGTTGCAAGTGCTTTAAAGACCAATTATACACGTGTATCTTATAGTATTTTTTATTATACCTGCAGTATAATTTAAAAATAGAAAATACAATGAAGTCATATTGACGTTATACTCGAATACATGTCTAATTAAGTGGGCTGGGTGTTCGTAATTTCACGATTGCCATGGAAATGTCACTTGACGTTTGCTTACAAAAATCATTTTCTTTGTGAATTAAACGATTTCCGTTGAAAAAGATAATACACCGCCCATTAAATCGATGGTTGTAAAATCTAAACAAACGTTGGTAGGTGTAAAATCCAACTCCAGTAAAGCCTATTATAAAGAATATGAAAAGTTGTTTCCATGGATGAATAGGAAGTTACAAATACAGTCTTAAATGCATCCATAATGCTGGCATATATGAAGGAAATGTCAAAGGTATTTAAATCTTCTATATTTTGGTGCATTCATACAAAACTTTAAAGCAATGCTGCGATTAAAAAGTGGAACAGATTTGGAAGCATACCCTAAATTACGCGCGTTTGTGAAAGCTTCAACCAAAGGGTACAAAAGCCAAAGAAATGTTCTGCATTTACAGAAAGCGACCTAAGAGGATTTTTTATTTCATCCAGATGACAGTTTCAAAAGTCATACTTGAAGGATCGTTACTTAGCAACTTTAAAGCACGTGTGTTTTAAAGGCCCTTTTTCGCACGCATTTGAGTGTTTAAAACGGAGATTGTGATTCAGGTATAATAAAATAGTATATTAAGATACAAGTGTATAATCAAGTCTTTAAAGCACGCGCAACGAGTTTAAGGGCACGACGCAAAGCGGAGTGCCTTTAACGTTGCAAGTGCTTTAAAGACCAATTATACACGTGTATCTTATAGTATTTTTTATTATACCTGCAGTATAATTTAAAAATAGGAAATACAATGAAGTCATATTGACGTTATACTCGAATACATGTCTAATTAAGTGGGCTGGGTGTTCGTAATTTCACGATTGCCATGGAAATGTCACTTGACGTTTGCTTATAAAAATCATCGTCTTTGTGAATTAAACGATTTCCGTTGAAAAAGATAATACACCGTCCATTAAATCGATTGTTGTAAAATCTAAACAAACGTTGGTAGGTGTAAAATCCAACTCCAGTAAAGCCTATTATAAAGAATATGAAAAGTTGTTTCCATGGATGAATAGGAAGTTACTTACGAATACAGTCTTAAATGCATCCATAATGCTGGCATATATGAAGGAAATGTCAAAGGTATTTAAATCTTCTATATTTTGGTGCATTCATTCAAAACTTTAAAGCAATGCTGCGATTAAAAAGTGGAACAGATTTGGAAGCATACCCTAAATTACGCGCGTTTGTGAAAGCTTCAACCAAAGGATAGGTACAAAAGCCAAAGAAATGTTCTGCATTTACAGAAAGCGACCTAAGAGGATTTTTTATTTCATCCAGATGACAGTTTCAAAAGTCATACTTGAAGTATCGTTACTTAGCAACTTTAAAGCACGTGTGTTTTAAAGGCCCTTTTTCGCACGCATTTGAGTGTTTAAAACGGAGATTGTGATTCAGGTATAATAAAAAAGTCTTTATTCTTTTTAGCGCGGGCAGTTTGACGCGAGTGTGTACAACAGCATTCGGAGCGCAATTCTTACGTTTGGATAAATGTCCAAAAAGCCTTTTTCCAACAAGTATTTGTATAGATTCAAAAAAGAAAACTTATAACTTCATTCATCGACAATAAATGAGCTCGCATCACAGTAGGCTCGAATAATATCGTCGTTTCACTCGTTTCGCTTTAAACCTCTAGGATTGGATAATATTGGCGACTGTTTTGATGAGACAAGCCCAGCCGTTTGCTGGTTTAGTTATATCAAGGTCCGTTACACACTAGGGCCCCTAGGCCCGGGCCTTGTGGGCCTAGCCGTAAATCCGGCACTGTCTCTTACTCAGGAGGTTCTTGAATAACCTGAATTATTCAGATGATACTAAATAAACTTGTAATTTTACAAAATAACAATTGATACCTCACAGGACAAAATTCCGACTTCTCGGTGTTAGCTACCAGCCATTTGCTGTCTGCTAGTTTCCGACCTCCACCTTGTGCAGTCTTACTAAATACTGGGTTGTATTCTATTCTTCCGGACCAGACGCCGGAATTGCTTACCTCGTCCTGGAAAAAATTCACCTCAGCAACTGCGGCTTCCCCTCCTCGCCAAGCCAGTTCATAGCTAGCAATGTAGTAGAATTTTCGTTCCAAACCGTCAGGTGTATCCTCGTCGAGCTTTGAAACAATATCTTTATATTCCGCATCACTCAGGGCAGATGAGCTGCACTTCCGTTTTTCAGGCAGCTTCTGCAGTTCACGTCTTTTGGCGTCTCGGGCGGCGCGACTTTGTTTAGACTCCACGTCAGAAAATGGATCAAACCTTACACCGAATTCTTGAAATTACAATTTTTGAAGCTGCTTGGCGGTCACGTTCCACATTGTTTTTATCACCGATTCCTTATAGTCTTCTCCATTCTTCTGTTTCATGTTGTACCCCCAATCCTTCATAATTAGGGCAAGTTTTGTGGTGGGCGTCGTTCTTGTTAATTCGTAACCTCGCTGTCCGCAAAATTCATGAAACTGCTTCCATACGTAACCATTCGATCTCTTAGTATTTATTGGCGTCACTTGATCGATAGTTTTCAGTGCAACCAGCACTCGTGATTCCTCGCGTGGGCAAAATTATCGGTAAGCATGTGTCGCCCTTGTTATATTACTATTGATAATAACACAATAATGCCCGTTTGCACCAATTTGTTATAAATTATAATCTTAACTAAGTGTCACTTAACCTTAGGGTATCACCTAACTTAAACTTATTTGCATCATTGTTAGTACAGTGTAACTTAATAAAGTGCTACGTAATCATCGGCAACGCCGCCAATCTGGTGGTTTTTCTAGTGATATTTGGTTTGCGCAAACTTTTATATTCTTTTATATTAAAGGTATTGTACCTATTCCTTTATTATTTAATTATTAATTTTAATTTAATTCAAGAAAATGGGCGATTCGGAAGTTAGGAAACGATCCGCAAATTTCACGTCAAGTGATCGTAATTTGTTATTGCAAATACTACAAGATTTCAAAGAAACGGTGGAAAATAAGAAAACGGATTCCCAAACCTGGAAAACCAAAGACGATGCATGGGATAAAGTAGCTAAAATGTTTAATTCACAGACACAGCAATGTCCACGAACAAAAGATTCCTTAAGAAAGTATTATGAAAATCTCAAGAGGACAGTAAGAAAGCGGGTAGCAAATGACCGATTGCAATTAAATCGGACCGGAGGGGGTGCAATATCAACAGACACTGAATTATGGATGGATTTACTTCTGAATTTAATAAATCAAAAAACGGTATATGGTTTAGTAAATATATACGACGGCGATGCAGATGTATCATTACCTGATACACCAGATTGTCCAGTAATAGCTGAACAAACCATCGAAGAACTAGACGACCATTGCTATGCAACATCTCCGTCAGCGCATGTCGTAGGTGACTGTGAAACGCCTTCCACATCCTTGCAGGTTTATATTTCTATTTATGTTAATATAGTTTACAACTTATTAATTAAAGGACTGGAATAATGTAGCTGCCAATGATCTACCACGACCTATCTCCAAAGGGCTTGTTGTAGGTGACTGTGAAACTCCTTCCACATCGGGCTTGCAGGTTTATATTTCTATTTATGTTATTATAGTTGTACAACTTATTAATTAAAGGATTGGAGTAAGGTAGCTGCCAATGATCTATCACAACCACTCTCAAAAGGGCTGAAACGTACGTGGACTAAACGAAGACGACCCGGTATACAGCAACAATCAAGCAGCAAATTGACCGAAGAGTATTCGATGTTGGCAAAAATGAAGTTGCAACTGTGCGAAATGGAAAAAGAAAATATTTCTATACGTACAGAAAGGGAAAATATTATCTTTGAGCTATCCAAGAAAAAACTAGAAAATGAAATTAAAATCCAAGAGTTCTTTATGAGTAAATATAACTTGATATAACAAACTATTCATACATTAATGTTCTAACACAAAAATAAACCTGTAATAAAATATTCGCAAGTTTATTCCTCTAAATTGGCAAAATATGTTGTAATAAGATTTTCTCTAGCTGCAATTCCTTGGATTCCTAGGGCAGCATTATGTACCTAAGGGATGTGTGGTACATCTTGCTGTTGAAGTATTTCTAAAAATCTATCAAGATTTTCCGGATCTGGTGGGTCTTCTTCATTAGCTTCTTTGCAAATGTTATGAACAACTGCTAGTGCTATGATTAACGTTAAAACTGTTTGCACTTTCAACCGGCAGCCATATGCCAATACAGGAAATCGTCTTTTGAATACTCCAAAAAATCTTTCAACTGTATTTCTCGTTCTAATATGAGATTCATTATATAATTGCTCGGCTCTATTATTTGTTTGTAGAAGTGGTGTCATTAAATATGACCTGAGGTAATACCCACTGTCCCCTATATAAACAAAAAATAACATTAGCACAGTTCATGATTAAACAGATGGGTACATATTATATACCTAGTAATAACGCATCTGGATACAGATTATTTTCAAATTGACGTCTAACTGCACTATTGTTGAAAATGGTTACATCATGAGACGAACCTGGCCATCTTGCAACTATGTTCCGTATATGTAATTGGGCACTTACAATGGCCTGTACGTTTATGGAAAAATATCCTTTTCGGTTTCGGAATACTTCAGGATCGTTTCCGCCTTCAAATAAGTACTGCATGAGAACACCATTGATCTTTTGTGATAAAAATTAAAAAAATAGTAAACATTGATTCTCACCCGGGGATTGTATTTTTACGTGTGTACAATCAATAGCGCCGATCACACGTGGAAATCGAGCAATTTCATAAAATGACATCTGAGCCATGTTCATATCTTGTTGTGTTTGTGGCATTTTGATAAATCTATTATAGTGAGATGCAAGCGCTGCACCAACTCGAACAACAATCCTGGATGCTGTTGAGAGATGCATGCCAGCAAAGTCTCCAATACATGCTAAGTGGGTTCCAGTGGCACAAAATCGTAAAAACACAAGCAGTTGGTTTATAGGCGAAACACAGTTATTCCTGAAATGTGAAAAATAAGAAGGCAGGTACACATCACCGTGGCATACAAATTATAAGGGTATTCAATGTGAGGTTCAATTAACTCGAGAATCGATATCGCTGTCGGTTTTGTAATCCGAAATCTTTGAAAAAACGTCAAATCATCGAAACTATGAAAATAATCTGATCTGTTATACACTTGTCTCGGAATACCAAAAATGATCACATTTATCACATCTAAATCATCATCATGATGTATATCCATTATAACACAACCTAAAAATTAAAAAACGACGAAAATAGGTTAGTCTTTATGCTTAAAGGGTATGATATCCTACACTTACTTTAAGTACCACTTTACTACCACTTATCTTTAATTTATGAACGGTGCAAATGGATAATGCCACTTAAGTGCAACTTAAATTAAAGGGAAACTTAAGAAAGTCGGTTTAAACGGGCATAAATGAATAAGTTTATAGGTTAAGAATACCTAAAAATGTACATTATAAATTCGTTTCAGTCATCATCGACATAATCGTTATCATCAGTTTCTGGCAATTCTTTCCAAAATTTTAAACGGTTTTCGGTTAAGACTTCTGACAACTTGGAGATTAGGTTATTCTTCCTTGTTTTTCAATTCCTTTTGGATTTTGCCTAATCGTCGGTTTGGGAACACCTTTCTTTTGCTTATCAGCAGTAAGAAAATTTAACTCGATGGATTCACCGTTAAATTTAGTTTTATAAAACAAGGTGTTCTTTCCTCTTCTGAACTCAACTTCAAAAAAGTTGCTTAAGTAAGGTTTTGGGGAGGTTTTTCCAAGTTTATATCTAGAGGAATGGTCCCTAGCGTCATAAAAATTGGTTAACTCCATGTTTAGGATTTCTACTCTTCCGCTGTTTGACTGTTTAACACAGTTTAAAAAGTCGGTGCAATCCCATACTTTGTTTTTTTGTTTTTAAGGCTTTCTCAACCTGATGATGAAATGAGTCGGCAGACATGAAGGTGTGGCCAGTCTCCAAATATTTCAGTCTAATTATGTTGCAACAAATTTCGAATGAGTTTATAAGGTACAGAAAAAAACAATACAAGTTCCAATTTTTGTTTTGTGATGCACAATTATCCATCCAAAGGATAATTTGTGAAGCATCTCTGTGAAGCAAGAAGAAATTATAGAAGGTCGACATAATGTCTAATTTACTACGACCAGCCACACCTTCATGCCATATTACTGCCACAGGTTTATTTGTACTGGTCTGTTTCCCAAGAGGTACAAATGATTCATTGAAACAAATGATCCTTCGTGTAAATATAATTTCTTTGAATTGTTCACCTCGGGGCAGCATGATAACCTTAAAAAATATAAATATTTTATTGATTTATTTATATAATCAATTAAATGGGACTCACCTTTTGCAGGTCCACCGAGAAACAACACGACTGATTATTAGCTGCATCTTTCTTGTACTCGGACCGTGCGGCAATTGCATTTTTATAGTGTTCGTCCCATTATGCGCAATCTACGCAATCTGGTGGAAGATCATGTTTAAGGTGATTTGCAGTTTTTGAGTGAACTTCAAACGATTCACATTGCCAACATTCCTCATTGCCTAGGGTGGCAAACGAAATATTCATTGCGGCTACCTCTTTTCGATACAGCTCATAAGAAATTTGGTTTTCAGGGTTCTTCTGCACATAATCTTTATGCATCATTGTAATCCTTATATCGCTTGGAAGGTATTTGCGATTGGGGGCATGCTCGCGTCGATAATGGGACACGGTTGAGTTGAATGAATTGATATGCGTTGTAATACTGGCTCTGTCTCTCTTCTTTTCGGAAGGATGTCCCCTTTTGCGAGCATAGAATACCAAGTTTTTCGACGAAGAGTCACGGAAGACATCTCTTATTATATGATCACCAGAAAATGAAAAACCTAAAGTACCCAGAAAAAATCTTTTGCAAACTCGACAATCCATTCCATGTGAATCCTTCAGGAAGTAAAGGAACGTATTCTGCCTCCTAGCATCTTTTCCGGCAAGTTTTTCTGTTGTACTTCTTTTTTTTTTGCTACCTTTTTAACAGTCATGAAAATGAACTGCTTTTGTTGCACATCCGACAATTTCCAAAATTCCTGATTAACAGCTTTTCTTCTTTCGTTGGTAATTTTTGTACACAATCTACCTTGCATGCTTCCAAAATGCCATGCTTCGATGCTCGTGAAAGCCTTTTTTCTTTCAGTCTTTCCTGTCGCGATGTTTCATACCTTTTACGTTTACGTTCAGTTCCCTTTTTGGTAAACAGTATTTTCTTCTTGCTTTCGCAGAGATCAAAAACACCTTCAATGATGTTTTCAATAATGCCAGCAAAAGAAGGAGTCTCTTCAGGATTAAGTTGTATATGAATATGATTAGCAACTTCCAATACTGTTGTATCTCCTGGTATTCGCCTTAACTTCACCAAGATCCAAAGCAGTTTCTACAATATTTGTAAGAATTTGGTGGACGAATTCCGTGTTATCAGCTGCATGCTTTACTATAATGTTAGATATTATGTTGATCTGCGACACGTTTTTATGCGTTGGGACGTTTTCTTTCACAACTACACAAAATGATCATTTAATATGGTACATGATTACAAACTGTAGACTTACCCAAATGTAGTGTAGATGGTTCTCTATATTGTTCATATAGTAATCAGGATCAGGATCGTTAATTTTCGATCTTTTTCTCTTATTTGCAATCTTAAAAGAACTTATTTTCTCTGCCAAATCCTTATTTAAAGCTAAAGTTACTAGCTTTCTAGACCGGTCAGACATACCTAACCTATTAATAATGAAAGCACTAATAATTGGTGCTTTCATTAATTATTAATCATGTCATATGATAATTTGTTAAGGAAATCTAAAATCTGACTTACGTTTCGTTAAGTACGAAGTAACGCTAAAAAATATGGTACCTAGTGGATACAATAACCAAACGGCCTGCAAACCTGCACTTCTTGTTGAAATTTAGATAACACTAAAACACTACTTAAGTGGAATTTAACCGCGGCTTAACTATTTCATAACCTCACAGTTTGACGTCACTACGTCACTCTATTACGTCTAAAACTCGTAACTATTAAGGGAAGTATGAGATACGATTTTTTGATGTAGTATTGTTAGATACGACTTTCCGATTTAGGATAACTTCAATTTTCGTAGTTACGACTAACATGTATCACTCATTTTACCGTATACGTAGTTCAGTTACGATTATCAGACTTTCGGTGTTAATTCTGGTGCATCTTGAAATAGTTACGATATTGAAAAGTAAACAAGAATTGAAAAGTTTCCCAATTTGATCTCGGTTTCGTATTCTTGTGACACATTAGTCATTGTAAAAGTTTACAATATTGAGAACTTAATATTGAAATCTTTGCAAATACGGATTATCCTTGCTAACCATTTTTCAAGTTAATTTAAAGGTTAGGGTTCGTTTCCAATATGAATGATCCTGAATTTATTTTATTAATATACGTATTACAACATGTGGAACAAATGTAATAGTTGTATTAATTTATTTTGAATCATTAAAATTATTCAATTTGAAGCAATGAACAACGTGAAATGGTTTGAATTAGAACGTCCGTATTTTAATAATGTACAGTCGTTAAATATGCATGGTAAATTTATTAAACACACGTTAAGAAAATATTGACAGACGACAGTAACATATTACATATGTAGTGCCAACGTTAAAACTAAAAATATCTATGAAATGTTGATTGCATTCAACACCCGCCCTCAATTCAACATTTCCTATTATTGATTAACAAACTTATAAAAAAATACAAGGTTACTATTATTACAGTTCTCTTAAGCCTAGTCCAAATCTGTGTTTCTTAAATAATTCAAAAGTCAAGTTTTTAGTTAATATATCAGCAGTCTGCTCACTAGTCGGTATATATTCAATATTTATTGTTTTATTATAAACCAAATCTTTTAGAAAATTAAATTTCACATCTACATGCTTTAAACGTTTATGTTCAAATTTAGTTGTAAGTTTTATACACGACTGATTGTCCTCAAAAATTTTACATGTTGATTTAGGATAGCCAAAGTCAGTCAGTAAATTTAATAACCACAAGCCTTCTTTTGCTGCTTCAGCTAAAGCGACATATTCAGCTTCGGTTGATGAAACAGCTACACAGCTTTGCTTCTTGGTATTCCAACAAACCGTGCTCCCAAATACTTTAAATAGGTATCCTGAAGTCGATTTCCGATCAATTTCGTCTCCTGCCCAATCAGAGTCAGCAAATCCAAGTAGTTTTTCTTCATCATTATTAGGGAAAAAAAGTGCATAGTTCATAGTTCCTTTAATATATCTCAGTATCCCTTTTAAGCATTTCCATAGTTCTTCTGAAGGTTTGTCTTGAAATCTGCTACATTGATTTATGGCTATACTTAGGTCAGGTCGAGTTCCAAGCATTAAGTACATGATGCTCCCAACTAGTTCACGAATTGGTTTGTTTTCTGTTAATCTTTCTAGGTTGGAATTTATGGTTGGCCTTGGATTCATCGGAATTCTATTTTCTTTGCAGTCAAACATGTTGAATCTAAATAAATTCCTTCTTCAGTTCTTGTAATGTTTATGCCCAAAAATAATCCCAATGGTTCTAAATCCTGCATTTCAAAGTTTTCTCTGAATCTTGATTTTATATAATCAACTCGTCGTTCACAATTGCTTGCAATAATTATATCGTCAACATATAAAAGTACATACATTAATTTGTCTCCAATCTCTTGAGTATATAAGCATGGATCATTTTTTGATTGTTTCAGACCTTCACTTCGTACAAATTCGTCAAACAATTTATTCCAGCAGTATGGCGCCTGCTTTAAACCATATAATGCCTTTCTTAATTTATATACCTTATCTCCCACGTTGCTTACACCATCTGGTACTGTGATATAAATGTCTTCATCGATTTTTCCATGCAGAAATGCGGATTTTACATCCATTTGTTCAATTATAAGATTTTTCTGATTAGCTATTGCTATTAATGTCCTTACTGTAACATATCGGGCGACCGGTGCAAAGGTTTCTTTGAAGTCTAGTCCTTCTTTTTGCATGAAACCTTTTGCAACAAGTCTCGCTTTATATTTCTTCATATTTCCTTCTTGGTCTCTTTTTATTTTGAACACCCATTTAGTGTCTATAATTCTTGCGTTGTTAGGTTTGTCTACTGCTATCCATGTATGATTCTTATTAAGAGACTCGATTTC